GATGGAAAGTGGAAGCCATTTTGTTTTTTTTAGGAAAGAACAGGAAGTTCTGTATTGCCTCAGGGGCTCGATGGTTTGCCAGGTATGATAAACAAGGGAAATAACTAAATAATCCAAACTGAACAAGTGTGAGGGAGTCAGACTTACTCTGCTCACCTCTCTAGCTTCAACAGCACAAAGTCTGCTTCGACTATCAAGGCACCCCGGAAATAGTGGGTCACAAGAGAGTGACAAACATACAAAAGAAATAGAGGAAAATGACAATAGTAAGGATGAGGAAAGAAAAATCAGCAGTTCCCCCTATGTTGTTCCGGCACATTTATGCCACCTTACATTTGTGTGAGAAGCACAGACATGGTATATAATAGTCATTTAGTGTACCGTAAATAAATACCAGTAGTAACAACTGTGTGACAGCTTCAAGGATCTAAGGAGCTCTGAACAAGTTGTGTGTACCATCGGACCGACTGTCGCAGAGACAGAAGGAGAAAACAGAGTTAGTGTGGTGAAGAAACAAGACACACAGACAGACAGTTGAGAAAGACACACACACAGACAGACAGACAGAACCAAAAGAAGGAAAGAAAAGAAGAACCTTCTGGAGGCAGCCATTTTCTCACAACATTCACCTGTAACAGCAGATAATCCCCGCCTTCTTCACCCTATCCGTACGTCGTGTTTTACTATCGTCTTCACCCTATCCGTACGCCCTGGGGTCATTTTGTACCCCCGTGGTTGTATTCTTCACATTTTAGAATACTCCTTGTACGAAGATCTCTTTGAAACTTTCAGTATTTCTCCAAAAATCATTTTGACAGACTACTATGCAAAGCGTACGGATCGGATTAACGAGTAAATTTCCTCTTTGGAAAGTGGTGGCACAGAGTTCCCCACGTCGTATGGATACGATAGTAAAACACGACGTACGGATAGGGTTAAGTGGTGGCACAGAGTTCCCGCCGTCATATATATGGATACGATAGTAAAACACGACATACGGATAGGGTTCAATCACAATACACACATATTTTGACTTCTCACACAACTCAACAACTTCTGCTCTCACCTCCCTCCACACAACTCACCTCCCTCCACACAACTCGCCTCCCTCCACACAACTCACCTCCCTCCACACAACTCACCTCCCTCCACACAACTCGCCTCCCTCCACACAACTCGCCTCCCTCCACACAACTCGCCTCCCTCCACACAACTCGCCTCCCTCCACACAACTCGCCTCCCTCCACACAACTCGCCTCCCTCCACACAACTCGCCTCCCTCCACACAACTCACCTCCCTCCACGGAACTCCCACTCTCAACAGATGTTTCTGATATCGGATTCCCGTGAGCTTAACGAACGTCTCGAGAGCAACTTCCTGCTGCAGCTGAAGTTTGTTCCTGGCGGCCGTCGTCATGGCGACGTAGAGGTCCATGTTGCGACACATGGTGCCCGTCTGCCAGCGGGCGAAGGCCTCGCAGCACAGCCGGTGCTCTCGGAGGAAGGCATCCGGGATGTGGGGCACCTCCAGGAACAGGTCCTCTGGGCTGTCTGAGAGGTGTAGGCCACAAGTCACAGATACAGTACCAGGGTTGTTGTTTTTGGGGGGAGGGGGTGGGGGGGTTTTAAGTGTTTTACAGCGCTCGCAACTGCATAAGGTCACATGAGCACGCAGGACACACTAAACATTTTCAGTTGGTAGGAAATTTTTAATTTCCGAAGCCTACTCATATCGATTTTTGGACAGCCAAGGGATCTTTAATGTGTGCTACTTGCACACGGGACCTCCGAGATTTTTCGCCCTTGTCCGAGAAGGCTAGGTGTAGATCTTTCCTACCGGAAGATCAGGAGTGTGGCTGAAAGACAGCAATAAAAAGAAGCCAAGGAAAAGCAGTAGAAAGGCTGCAAAAAAGAGTCAGGAGCCCAGAAGAGAGGGCAAAGCAGATGACAGAACATTGCTAGATAGCAGGAAAGAAGGTGAAAGGACACAATTTTAGAGAAGAAAATTTTTTCATTGCTATCCGGATTCGAACCCGGGACCTTTGAATGAGAGGTGAACACCTTAACCCTAGACCACGAGAGCCCCCATGGTAGTAATTGTTAGGCTTCAAGGAAAACAAAAAGAAAGGGAAAATTGTTTTGATGATGACGATGATGATGATGATGATGATGATGACAATGATGATGATGATGACAATGTTGATGATGATGACAATAATGACAATAATGATGATGACGATGATGACAATAATGATGATGACGATGATGACAATAATGATGATGACGATGATGACAATGATGATGATGACGATGATGATGATGATGACGACGATGATGATGACGATGATGACAATGATGATGATGACGATGATGACAATGATGATGATGACAAGCGGGTAAACACGTACACACTGTGGCCTGGGCTATATCCCACAAAGTTTTCCATGTCACGTTTTTCCGGTAGCCTTTGCACACCAAATACATTTCTGAGTTCCCACTTTTGCTGGTAGCCGGCTTGATCCCGTGAACCTGGACACAAACAGAACAACTGAAGTGTTTCATGTTTCCTTTTGGTAAGAGTTTTACGGCACTTGCAACACAATAAGGTCATATAAGTGCCCAAGATTAGAGGTGTTACAAGAGAGTAACAAACACAAAACAGAAGGAGGAGAGATCAGGACGATAGATGTTTGATAGGGAAGAAGGAGCAAACCACACTAGAGCACCCGCCAGCCACCCACTGGCAGAAAGAGAAATGAAGGAAGATGAACAGAGAGACTGTTAGAGATTGAGTCATGAGACAGAAGCGCACCCACACAGGAACTGTCGATTTGGGGATGGACAAAGAAAGACAAACAAATAATGAATCTGCTGCTGCTGCTGCTGCTGCTGCTACTACTACTGCTACTACTGCTACTGCTACTACTACTACTACTACTACTACTACTACTACTACTACTACTACTACTACCACCACTACTACTACCGCTACCGCTAC